GGTACTAATACAAATAATTACACTAATTAAACTGCGAAATTGCCACTAGGAAACGTGCTATAATGAAGAGAGATCTGGTAGCATGAACATTTATAGCAACAGTTTAACTCAAGTCAGGAAGGTGAGCTAAGGCATCTGCAATCGTGGAGCTGAGACCTACAGGAGAAAGTGACCAATGGGGAGGGGAGAGGGTTCCAGGCTCTTGCAGGCCCTGCAGCAGGAAGGAGCACAGTGAGGTGAGGCTGGAAAGAGCATGAACACAGCACAGGGCCTGTGGGAGATGTCGAGAGACATCAAAAAATGATTTGTCTAGGCACAGACTTGGGTTCAAATGCTGGCTGCAGCCAGGCAGGGGTTCAGGCCTGTAATCCCAGCTCTTTGAGAGGCATTTGAACCCAAGGATCACTTGAGCCCAGGAGTTCAACATCAGCCTGGCAACATGGCGAGACCCTGTCTCTGTATTTAAAAAGCAAAACAAACAAAAAACCCCCCCCCCAAAAAAATCTCGGCTGTGCTGCTTACAAACATTGTGCCCTTTGGTAGATACTTCATCTCTGAGCCTCAGTGTTTTTGTCATATCTGTAAAATGGGGCTGGAAGGAGTCAGTAAGCTTTTGAGGCTAAAAAGCACCATTTGTTCCCTATTGGGACTCAGTACAGAAAATTCACTTCACTCTACACTGCTTAAACATTTACTAAAAGCTTGTGTATCCTAATATGGGACCTGAATTTTCCAGGATGATCCCAATTTCAAATCCTCTGTCCTAACTTTCCCCATAAACCATCAAAATGCTTCAGAAATTCCACTCTCTCAGTATCCAAACACTTCTCAGGCCTCCTCCTGCACAAAGCAGCGGCACACACATTCCTTTTTCACACTACAGATCCTAATCTTTGGTTCAGAAAATGTAGTCAGCAGAGTCCTGCCAGCCCCGTAAAGGAAATGGGGTCAGGGAGAAAAATCCATGGCAGTCAGTGCTCCATTGCAACTCAGACTGTAAAGGCAGTTTTATCTGTCATCGATGTAAAGGCAACCAGGGGAGTCCATGCCACAATCAGAGCATCATCCACAGAGGGACATACACTGGGCAGAGGAGCTCAGCCCCCACCTACTTGTACCTGGGAGGCAGCCTGGCCACACGGTTGCTGTGAAGATGAAAAAAGTTCAGTTAATATTTGGAGGGCACTCACTACAGTGTGTGGCAGCCAGTAAGCACCAGATTAGTGTTGATAACTAAAACCAGAGACATCCCCACAGAAGTTACTCCTGCCTCAAAGATAACACAGAGGCATCGCTTCCACCCAGGTGAAAAGAAGGAGACTCGGCACTTAACCCTGGGCTGGGCGAGGCCTGGCCCATGTAGAGAGATGAGGTAGATCCTAACCACAGCAGATGGGTTCTGCATTAGTGAACACCAAGAGGCTGGACTTGCTGAGTGCAGTGGCTCATGCCTGTAATCTCAGCACTTTGGGAGGCTGAAGCAGGAGAACTGTTTGAGCCCAGGAGTTCGAGACAAGCTTGGGCAACACAGTAAGACTGTCTCCACAAAAAAACAAAAAATTAGCTGGGCGTGGCGCACATGCCTGTAGTCCCAGGTGTGAGGTATGAGGAGGACTGCTTGAGCCCTGATCAGGCCACTGCACTCCAACCCGAATGACAGAGTGAGACCTTGTCTAAAAAAACAAAACAAACCAGGCTGGACTTGGAGAGGCCTCATGCCTACAATACACAAAGTCTCTTCATGCCTTTGCCCCTGCTGTTTTGTCTGCCCCGAATGCCATCTTGTTCCTAACTTCAAGGCTCAATTCGAACTATGTCTTGAAGTTAGAACTAACTTCTCCCCATGGTTAGAACTACTCCCCACAGTGTTTCCTGATACCCATCAGAATGAATGGCTGAATCCTCTGGTGTCTCTTGCATCTAGCTTATCCTTTCAAAGCACTTACAGGACCACGGACAGATGGATGGAGATGCATATATACACATACACAAATGTCACTGTCTTCCCAAATCCACCATAAATCCTTCCAAGGCAGGGGTTCAGCATTCACCTCTGCAGCCCTATGGCCTAATAATATGGTAGAGACTCAATAAATGTCTGAATTTGCTGTTAAATCTGTGCTCACGCCTGGTCTTGGAATAACAAGTAAACCTGGGGGCAGCAGGAGGCTTCAGGTGCACACACAATCCGAAGCTCAGTAGATGCAAGATTTCTGGGTCTTAGAACCCACTACCAAATCTGATTTCAGCCTGGAGCCTACCAAGCACTTCCCAGGTCCTTCTCAGCCAGAAAAAAGAAGACACCTATCAGATCAGAGTCTGAGGTCACCTGGACCCAGCCAAGAGCAGTGTGGACACTGAGCTGGTCTCCTCCCGTCTCTCTGTTAAGAGTTGGTATGAAAAGCTGATGCTTGGGTAGGCTACCTTGACCCCACCAGCCCTTCCAGGGCAGGGTATGTGCTGGGTGTCTTCAGCATTTCAGCTTCTACAACAGATCTTGGGAACAGATAAAGAAGAGCTGTCCCTGCTTTCCAGGACAACAATGCTGAAAGGAAGGTGAGCTCTCCTGGAGAAAGATGTAGGGACTACAAATTGCTGGCCTCCTCTCAACTACCACAAACTGTGAGGGCTGGGGAACGGCAGGGTACCATGTCTTCTCCCTCCCTCCCTCCCTCCCTCCCTCCTATCCCCAAAGCTCAGCCCTTTTGGTAGGTAATGCCTGCCCTAGAAAACGTCATCTCTTGTGTGCCTGGACCTATAGTTCAGAAGGTCAAAATTGGTCCCTTTTGCTCCTGGTCCCACTTTACCTTTGCTAGCTCAGTTTCCTTATCTGTAAGTTGGGGAGCGGGTTGGGGTTTGGCAGCAACAAATCCCAATGTATGTGAAACTGTCCAGTTCACAGCCAACAAGGCATTGGTCTCAATTCCCTGAAGCCAATTACCACCTTGGAACCCCAACTTCTTCCAGGGATAAGATTTGTCTCTGACCTTGCCTCCCTAACCAGGTCTCTGAGACTTGAATGAGAATGCTAGAAACTCCCAGAGTATCTTCTGTACGATAAAAGATGAATTGAGAGCTCAGAGACATGACTGGAGACATGGTGTGGGATCGTGAATCTGCCTCCACGGGAACTTGGGCTTTTTCTCCTGCCCAAAGCTGTCTGAGGGCCCACCACCTGTCTGGCCTGACCAGGGCCCGCCCTTTCCTGCAGGGAAGTGGATGCTGGCACCCGGGATTCTCTGGGCTCCATGGGACTACTCCACATCCCCACTCAGCACTGCATTTGCCATACAGAAGTTCAATAAATGCCTCAGCTACTTTGAAATGCCTTCAGTAACTTGACCTTTTATATTCCCCAGCTAATGTGTAATTTGCATATATGAGTCCTTTTTAGGAGATGGCAAGTCACCAGCGACAACGCAGGATCAATACAGAGTATTAGGCATGTTCTATTCTAATTCTCTGCAAATTGGTATTCCATTAACTGCATGTGGGATTTATGGGAGCTCGCTATAAACGAGAATATTTAACTAGAACGGCCTACTCTGTCAGATAATAGCTTACGTTGTTAATTTTCAACTAGTCAATCTCAAAAAAAGTTTCCAGCTTCCAATATATTTCACATCTTGATTTAATCATCCAGAAAGTCATTTCATCAAAGTCTCCATACAACCAAGGGCAGGCAGCTTGATGCAGATGAAAAAGACCTGCCCTTGGAACCAGGAGACTTGGGTTATATCCCAGCTCTACCACATACTGTATAATTGGCTGCTGAGAGCCTCAATGTCCTCAACTGTAAAATGGGAGTGACACCAGCCTCACAAGGGAGTTGTAAAGATTAAACGAGATAATGCAGGTGAATGTACTCTAAGTTCTGTAAGGCTATGCAAAGGTTGGTTATTATAAAAGCACAAGCTGCATGTTCCCCAAAACCTATAATCCAATAAAAAATTAAAAAAAAAAAAAAAAAAAAAAGCACAAGCTGAAATTCTCAAACAACTCAGGCTAATGACAGAAAGCAAGAATTAAATTGGTGGTTCTAAAAGGATGTGGGGGTGGCATTTTGCTCCCTAGGGGACATCTGACAATCTTGGAGGCATTTTTAGTTGGCACAACTGGGGGACAGGAATTGCTACTGGAATCCATAGACCAGAGATGCTTCTAAACCCCACAGTGCCCAGGACACAAATACTTATCAAACCCCAAATGTCAATAGTTCAAGGCTGAGAAATCCTGATCGAAATAATCACTTAGAGTTGGATTCGGGAGATTTTTATAACAGAAATCTTCCTAAGCAGGCATTACTTTCTCCCATCATCTGCTTAAACATTTGCAAGATGGATCATCTTGCAAAACAGCTCTTTTCTAAGTGCAGCCAAACTGCCAACTTCTGGAGTTTCTGAATGTATAAAACTGCTTTTAAAGAAGATGCTCTCTGATTACAATTCGGCTAAATTGTTTTTCCCAAGGCCGTCACTTTGGCAGAAGTTCTCCTGGGCACAGAGACAGGGTCTCTCACTCCACCACTGGCCCCTGAAGATGGTTTCCTAATTCTAATTTCCTGCTGAAATGAGAGCCACTAGGGTCTCTAAATGAATTAAATTCACATCACGCCAACTGCTTGCTAGCTTTGTGCCAGGCACGGTGCCAAACACCTCCACATAATTTATCCCACTTAATCCACCAAACAACCCAGAGAGGTGGGCATTATTAGCAGCTGTTTGCAAGGGAGAAAACAGGACCAGAGAGGTTAAACAACGTGCCCAAGGTCACCAGCTGGCCAAGGGGGCGCCCAACTTGAACGGAGGTCTCCAGTTTCCAAGTCACAAGCTCTTTCCACCAGCTCGGAAAACCCTGGTGTCAAGTTGTCTCAACTTCCCATGAATTTTTAAGACAACAGCAACTTCTAAGTAAGTTTAGGTAGCTGAAAATGGGAATTTCCGGGGGGCTGGGCACTCTCACAAACACTCCCCCCGCTGCAGCTGTCTCGCCGCAGGTACCTGATAAATCATTCCATATCGGCCGCGGAACGGGGAGGATTTATTGGCGCTGGAGTTTCGTGCCAGGCCCAGGAAATGCCATCTTTGAAAGCCGAGAGGCGGATTCGCCCTGGGAACCAAGGGCTGGCCGCCGCGTTTGGCTGGCTCCCTGAGGGCTGTGCGCCCCCTCTGCGCCCGGAGCCGGGGTCGAGGCGGCGCGGGGTCCTGCGGCGGCGCCAGCAGCACGGGCTCCGCGGGTAGCGCCCGCCCCTGCCCGGCCGGAGCGCACGCCCACGCTCCGGCGCCGCGTCCCGGCCGCCAGCCCGCCCCGGCCGAGCCCAACCCGGCGCCCCGCCCGCGCCCTCCTGCCCAGTCCCCTCCAGGTGAGCGCGGCGGGACGCCCCTCCCTGCCCCGACGTGGTGCGGGGATCCTGGGGCCGCAGCACCCGCCAGCCCGCCCGCGCGTCCGCCGCACGCCCCAGGGACGGGTGGGGGCAGGGTGGCGCCGATCGCGACCCCGGCCCCCGGCCGCCCCGCGCCCTGCCCCTGGCCCGCTGTGGTCGCACCGGCTCGTACCTGCAGCATCCGGAGGCGCAGAGCGCCCAGGTAGGTCGCGCGTGCGGGCGGCGCGGAAGCTCGCTCGCGGCGCGACCTGGCCGCCGTCTGAGCATGCCCAGTGCCGCCCGCGGGCGGTTCCCGCCGGCCGGGCTGGCCGCGACGGGCCCGCGCGCCGGGCTGGGGGCGGGCGCCCGGGCCGGCCTGCGGTGCTCTCCCGCCCCCGCCTCGCCCTGGCGCGCCCCGACGCTTCTCCTAGGGCCACCGGGGCTCTTCGCCGAGCTGCGGGCAGGCCCTGAGTTTCCTCGCGCATGCATGCAGCCGTTCGTTCCACAACATGACTGGGCACCTACTGTGTGCCTAGCCCTCAGTGATTTCATGCCTAGGAAAGGCAAGCAGTCGGCGCCCAAAGAAACTTTGAAACGAGGAGTTTTTGCGCGACGGATGCGCGGTTGAGCTGAGGTCCTACTGACTCCCAGTCCAGTTCCCTTGGCACTAGTAAGCTTCCCTGAGATTAAACCGTCCCAAGGCTCACAGGGCCCCTACCTGATCTGTGCTCCTGCTTCCCACTTTCTTCTCATCTCACACCTGCCTGCCTGCGGCTCCTAGGGCATCTTTCTGTCCATCAGACACTCGAACTTCATCAGCCTCAGGACATTGGCGCGGGCCTTTTCCTCTGTGGGACGTCCTGGCCCATTTTTTCACATGGCGGGCGCCTTCTCATTGTACATAGGTCCCCTCCTCAGAGAGGCCTTTCCTGACCACCTTCCTTGATTAGCCCTCTGCCACTCCATGTATTTTATTTTCTTCATAGTATTTAACACGATGTATCCATTATCTGCAATTATTTATTGAGCATCTATTTCAGTTCTTCTCTCGTGGTGAACAAATAGACAAAAATTCTCTCCCTCTGGTGGAGTTTGGGGGAAGAGGGACAGGTAACATGGCAAATTAGCAAACTATGTAGTATACTAGAAAGTGACAAGTTCTAAGAGGGAAAAGAGCGGGGTCGGGAAGTTTGAGGGTGAAGGTACGCAGTGAATTTTCAGGGAAGCGGTCGGATCTGGCCCTTGAGCCGATAGGGCGGTCTATCTGACAGATCGGGTAACTATCACTGAGGTGATAGTGATATTTCAGATAAGCGGGGAAGAGCATTTCTGGCCGAGGGAACAGCAAGTGCAAAGACCCGAAAGGGCTCCGGGCTGCTTAGGGAACGGCAAGGAGGGCAGAGGAGCAGATGAGGTCGGTCTCTTTGGCTTTTCCTCTGATTTGTTTGATTCTCATGTTGTATTTCCCTCCTGAATGTCAGCTTTGGGGCTGTGGCTCTGCCTGTCTTTACTGCAGTGACCCAGCTCCTGCAACACTGTCTGGCATACAGTAGGCGCTCAAACATTATTTGTTGAATACGTGAACGCAGGGAGGCAGAGATGGCTGGAACCCTCCAGTCGCGCCTGGGTGCCGGGTCCTGGGCCCCGGCAGCCCCTGGAACCTCATTTCTGTCCTTGTCCACGAGTCGCACGTCCCAGGATAGCGCCGCCGCAGCGGGTGCCGCCCGGGCGTCGCGTCGTGGGGAATTCCGACGGAGCCCGGGAGTCCCCGGGTCCGGAGCGCACGCGCTGCGCCCTGCCTGGCCCGGCCCGGCCGGGGCTCAAGTCGCTGGCAAAACCTGGAGCCGCGACACCCGCCCAGCACCACTAGGACGGGCGTGGAGCGCACTGGGCATGCTCGGAGCCGGGCGCGGCCGGAGCCCCGGGAAGGAGGAGCCCCCTGGAGGGGCAGGCGAAGCTCCCCGCAGAGCTCCACCCAGTGCCCCCGGGCTCGGCGGGAGGCGTTTTCAGTCCTTTCCCCGCTGCGTTACCCTCTCTGTGCTTCAATCATCGTGAATACCTATGCTCCGATCTGGGCCGCGAGTTGAAGTTGAATGAAATCAGGAACGTGAACGTGCTTACACCACCTTAAAGATCCTTTTCCTGAGTGCCTACCTCCATCAGCCGTCATCCTCATGCCAGTTTGCCAACTGCTGAGATGAAACCGAGGTCAGCGGTGGATGTGTGAATTCTTGAAGTTATGTTAATTTGCTGACCCCTAGACTGAAACTACCTTTTCTTTCCCCACAGCTAACAGCCATTAGCTTAAACGATGCCCTCAAATTTGAACTAGAAACATGTGTACACCTAAAGGAAAGACCTAAATATTTTCAAAATCATGCATTTCAAATCACCATAACAGAAGCAGAAACTAAATGAAAGAATACTCCCCAAATTGAAACAAACTAAGTACTCAACAAAAGAGGGATGATGAATTAGGTTATGGCATATTAGTTGAAATAATAACTATTTTACAGTAAGTTAAAAAAGACCGTGTTGCAAAGGGAAAACTTAGGGTACAGTGTTAAGTGAAAAAAAAGCTGAAAATAGGTTGGGTGTGATGGCTCCCGTCTGTAATCCCAGCCCTTTGGGAGACCCAGGTGAGAAGGTAGCTTGAGCCCAAGAGTTCAGGACTAGTCTGGGCAACTTAGCAAGACCCCATCTTTACAAAAAAAATTATCCAGGTGTGGTGGCATGCACCTGTGGCCTCAGCTACATGAGAGGCTGAGGTAGGAGGATCTCTTGAGGCCAGGAGGTCAAGGCTGCAGTGAGTTGTGATGGCTCCACTTCCATTTCAGCCTGTGTGACACAGAGACACTCTCAACAAGAACAAAAAATCTAAAAACAAATAGATTGTGTAAAGATGGTGTTGACCCATTCACCAAGACTAGAAGGAAACATGGGAAAATAGCTAGTCTGATTCTTTTGCAGTAGTAAGGTTTTTTTTTTGTGTTTATTAATGTCACAATGACATGTTTGCAATCATAAGCATTTAAAAGATCAAATTAAACATTCTTGTTTTGTGTAAACAAGAATGTTATAATGACTGCTACTATCAAGCTCAAGTGTGATCAATATTTTATATATATTCTCTCTTTAATCCTTACCATCACTACAGAGTAAGTGTTTTAGCTGTTTTATAGACGAGAAAACTATCTAGGGGCTGTTCACAGCTAGTAAGGGGGTAAGGAATCGAACACAAGTCAGTCTGATCTCAAAGCCAGGGTGTTAGGTTTTATGACACACTGCCTCTCTGTGTAGTAGAGTATCATGTTTTGATGATAAGAGAAGCCATATGTCATTTCACTTTTTTGTATTTTTTGCCTTATTTTCTATACCCTTTGAGGTGTTTGTAGGCTACAGATTACCCTTAAATGTTCTAGTCTCCTGTTACTGTTTTATTCTTGGGGCCAAAATGTTAAAGTCCATCCTTGTAAGGTGTTGTACCTTGAGTGACATGAGATTATTACTACCAGCAACCGTTGATTTTATAAGCTCCCAAACCTTATATAAATGGGGCTTTTGAATGGACATATAATCTTCTTAGTCTATCATTGAACCCAGTCAAGTCTAGAGCAAATTAAGGCCTAATTGGGAATAGAGCTGTACTAAGTCCCAGATAGACTGGTCCAGAGAGGTCCCATATAGATTACTGTCTCTGGGCAATCACTTTGGAGGCAAGATCACAACATGATGGAACCACCTGGTCCATGGACTCTTCAGGACTTTGCTGTGATGAAATGATGGAGAGCTGACAGTCCTGATGATGTTGGCTGAGGGAAAGCCAGGACTCTAAGAGCAGCCCTCCTCCTGCAAAGCTCAAAAATATAGTCAGCTCTCTCTTAGTGCCAGTAGACTGTACTTGGCTCAAAAATCCAGAAACCACAGAAAATAATAAAAACAAAGAAAACAAAAGAGCATGATTTATTGGAGAGGAAGATATGCTACAAACTGAATATACATCACTGGTGATGGACCAGGTTCATACAAGAGGAAAAATAGATGAACAACTAAACACGATTATTAGCAGCATTCCCAGAAGCTGCCATTGGGGCAGGAAATCTGGTGCCAGGCACTGTATGTAGGCAATTGGCTGAGGGCATTTATAGGAAGAGTTTCATGGAAGAATCACTGAGGATTGTCATTCACATCAAGACTCTAAGTCTGCCCTACTTGTACTGCTCCAATGATTTACAAAGCAGTGCTCTGTGCTGAGATGCTAATGCTCATCAATTATTTGTGCTGTTAATGCAAACTCACGAAGAGCCCGAGAATCCATAAATACATGGGCAAGTGGTGCTGTTAGAACGACAGGAAAAGAGTATGATGCAAAATACACATGGTATGGTATGTGGAAATTAACTAGGTTGAACCATAAACTGCCAGGTTGAGTGCAGTGGCTCATGCCTGTAATCCCCGCACTTTGCAAGGCTTAGGTGGGAGGATTGCTTGAGCCCAGAAGTTCCAGACCAGCCTGGGCATCATAGTGAGACCCTGTCTCTACAAATAAGAACAAAATTAGCCAGATGTGGTTGCATCCATCTTTTGTCCCAGCTACTTGGGAGGCTGAGGTGGGAGGATCACTTGAGCCTGGAAGGTTGAGGCTGCAGTGAACCTCAATTGTGCCACTGCACTCCAAACTAGACAACAAAGCAATACTCTATCTCAAACAAATAATTAATTACTTGCCTTTTTATGGGTCAAAATGGTTGAACATTGGCGACTTCCTATATTTCAACTTAATACATACACATAGAACAAAAACTAGAAAAACTGCACCAAAATATTATTGGTGGTGTGTCTGAGTATTGCATTTATGTGCAGAGAGGCAAGCTATGGAAGTTATCTTTTACAAA